CTAATATATACTGTGGAGTGGGTAAAACCAGTGTGAGCCTGCCCTGGGGCTGGGGGTGCACTGGGGGGACGGGGGTGGCTTCGCTTCCCTCCCCGGCCACCCTATCCTGGGGATGGCCAGCAAGGAAGTTCAGAGGCTGATGGACTTTAATTGTCCCCAAGACTGGAGGCAAAGTTGGCACCGTCTCTTCAAAAAGGTCCGGCCAACCTTCCCGTCCTGCCATGAGCATCCCTGGGTCACCCGGCAATCCCGTTTCTGCCACGCCGGTGTAAGAGGGGATGGGTTAATTGGCACGGCGCAGGTTTGTAACTGGGGGTGTCGGCGGGTTTACGATGGCTGTAACAACGCCACTCCCGAAAAATGCTCCTCGCCGAAGCGGGTTACCGCTCGTTAGTGACTTTGGAGCTCTACTCCAAGGGAAGATGTGGCATTAGACACCTGAGCTTACTTAAATAGTGCTGACCACCCTAAAAGAGAATGTCGTGAGCAAGGAAAAATGTCAAGCAAAATCAATTGTCTTCCGAAAATACGCAGACAAACTGGAAAAATGGAAAAGAAAAATGAATGCGCGCTTACCAAGCTCATTCAACAACAGGGCTGTGAAGGAGACAGACAGAGACAAACACAGAAGAAGAAAAGTAAATGAATAATGAAATCAAAAAGAATATCCACAGAAAGACTCCAGATCCCAGGGCAGAGATTTCAGATCTGTAAAGCTGCAGGATACCATTAATGTGGAGAGAAAGGCACTAAAAATAAAAGAACAGAAACGTTTCATGGGACTGTGGATTTAAAATAAATAAATAAATAAAACCAACATTGCAAACATGGAGTGGATATGGGATTAAAAAGGCACACTCCAAAAATTCATTTTCCCCCTTTGAATTGTACGTGCAAGATCTTCCGTTGGCCTCAGAGGCAGTTCTGCCCTGGGGGGAGGACACAAGATGTCCCATGTGCAGCGGCTACTGGCTTTGACCTTCTCCAGCTGCCTAACGAGGAGCAATAGCTTCTGGAGTGTATGATGAGAGAAGAAAAGTCTGTGGCAAGGCTTGGCTCGGGGATCTTGTCGCTCAACATTTTAGGTCTCCAAAACAGAAAGAAAAAGCCTCGCCCTTAGTGCCACCAGTGGGTCTCTGGCCCCCGAGGTGCAGACCCCACCACATGGCCCAAGGGTGACGTTTCAGAGATACTGTCACCTCTGGGGTGCCAAGCGCATCGCTTGCCCCACCTCGTTGCCTCTCGTACAAAACCAAGCACAAAAATCGAGTTTAAAAAAAAAATAAAAATCATTGCATGGCCAAAGCAGCAAATAGCATCCTTTAAAATCTCCACTTGCCTTCCAGCTAATGAGTTTGCAAAGCTCTCGGCCCTCCTCAGGTTCTCCTTGTGAGCAGGGAGAAGAGGAACTTTCTTTCCTTTTCCTTCTACTTTTAATACAAAATTTCAGCTAGGATCCTGTGAGTTGGTACTACGGATTCACAAACCTGCGGCCTGGAAAGCGTATTGGCTGTTGCCAGGCTCGCAAGGCTGAGCCGGCACTGGTCCCGGTGAAGCTGGGCAAAGCCTCAGCTGCAGAGTCGTCCGCCTGTCCCTTTATCCTGGCAACACTGGCTACGCTCCATAGATGCCACCGGCACCGTTTAATGACACAAATCCCACCTGCAGAGCCTGGGCCATGCCAGCACGCTGGATTTTTTTTAGCCCTGCTTCTGCTCGCTGGTGACATAAACCAGCGGGAAATCTGATGGAGGGGATGACGCAGCCGACCAAGACGGCACCAGCGCCGAAGGGGAACGCGGGCATCGCTGCCGGGTGTGTTTTTTAGCCTGGAATTACCGCAGCATGTCCCCAACTCAGCGTGGGGACTGCTGGGGGCCCTCTCCGTCCTGAACAAATGATATATAACAACCCCCTGCCTGCTGAAGGGAGAGCTGATGTCCCAGAAATTAGAAAGCAGCTCCGAGGCAGACAGACCAAATGCTGCTGCCAATTTTTTACAAAGGCTTTAATAAGGGTCTGTTGTAGGGCAACTAATTATCTTAAGTAACTCTAAAACTGCTTCTTGCTCAGCCGCCAATAGCACGCAGAATTAGCTGCTGCCATTAATTTTCACCTAATTTCCCAGCAGAAAAAAAAATAATGCGTGGCAAAATAAGTGAACTCTGTCTTTTTGGGAAGGTTGGCAGTTGGTTTAAAAATGTGATGAAAGAGGAAATTGTTTTTATTATTCCTATGAGAAGCTATTATCCAGTGCAGAGCCGTGAAACTTTATTTGAGTATAACCTGATTTCTCCTAGACTGATTGCATCTTACGGTATTACCTGCTTGTGCCGTGATTCTCAGCTATATTCAGATCCTAGTGCCAGTATAAAAAGGCTGAAATTACTGCGCTGGCCATGCATTTTATTTCCGGTGAAGGCTATTTTATCTTCTGATAAAAATGATGCAGCGTTGCCTTTTCACTTCTCGAGACTGAGTTTTCCACTCGATTAAATGAAGCTGCCACGTGGCAGGGCGGCGCTCTCAAAATGTCCCTTGGGGGCTGGCGATGCTCATCGTCCCCCTGCCCCGGCGCTCCAGGACCTTCCTGGGAGCACGCCCTTGCTGCCGGTGGCTGGGAGGGGGGGGATGCCCTGGTGAGGGAGACGGAGTCCTCCCAAAATGAAAGAGGAAAGAAAACAGAGCAAAAAAGGTGCAGTGGCCAAGCTTCGAAGGAGGGAGGGCAAAACGGGCCGGGAGCCAAAGTGCGAGGAGAAAGGAGTGTGAGAGTAGGGAGACACAGAGAAAGCGGACGGCAGCGTCTCGAGAGCTGGTCTGGTTTTACTCTCACACCTTTCACTCCTCGTCGTAGCCACACCGGGTCCCCAAGCACAAGGAAGAAACTGCACTCTTTCTCATACTCCTCACGGTCAAGTACTCTAAGGGTAATGAATTTCCTGTGGGAACACAAGACAAAGGCAAACACATGATTGGCATCACACACGCATGCAGTTCATGTCCACCCGGGTGCTGTGGTGCCGGAGATGGTCGGGTCGGGGCAAGCGGCTGCACATCTCCTCCCGGGGCGTATGGGGAAGGGCAGGAGCTTCCCCACCACCCAGCTGGGGCTGGACCTTGCTGGGCTGGGGAAAGAAAGACTGGGCGCGGGGTGAGGGTGGGAATTGCCCCGGCTCCTGCCCTTTTCCATAGGCGCTGGGGATGTGAGCTCGGTGTTGCAGGTGCCAGGCATGAGTGAGCCAGACAGGGACACACAGGCTGGGCTCAGCCCCGGAGCACGTCCCCCACCTTTCTTCTCACTCATCTCCACCAGCTGGGGCTCCCCGATCTCTAGGTAGAAGGTCTTGTTTTTCTCATACTCCTCATCATCTATCACCTTGATTGATATCGTTTTGCTGGAACAGAGAAGAAGAAATAGAGATTCAAGAGTAAGGGGGGAAAAGGGAGGAGGGGAGACAGGGAGAGGAGGAGGGTAGAAACGGCAGGAGAAGGGGGCTGCAGACAGAGGGCAGCGGGTTTGGTAGCACAGGCTGGAGGGGCAGCACAGCCGAAAGCAAAGGGTGGGAGCCAACGGGCTGAGCTGGCCTCAAGGATAAGCACGGACCCCGGGGTCTGAGCACCAGCGGCTCGCAGGGTGCTGTCCTCCCCAAGCACAGCGGGAACCCACGGCTGGACCCCCAGAGGTGCCTCAGCCCGGGGGGCAGCAAGACAAGTCCCTTTCCAAAAACCCAGGGTTGCGGAACAGCCCCTTGACCGCTTGCGCGCTGCACTGCTTAAACCGGCCCCTGCGCACGGAAGAGGCTCCGTCTCGCCAGGCACAGCAGATCCATGCACACCATCACCATCCGCTGCTCAGTTTGGGCTTTGGAGGCTCCAATTTACAAGCTTGAAAGGGATGCTGGAGTTAGGACTTCTTCTGTGGAGGGAACATATGGGAAAGAGAGTCTTTCTGGTTAGGGAGGGGTTGAAGGAAAGCTTCACTGACGGTGAGATTTAACTTCTTTTTTTATTTTTCTTTGCCAGCAGCTCACCCTCACCCAAGCCCTGAAGGTTTGGTTCTCTCCTGCTCGAGAGTTTTGCAGCAGGTCTCTTTTCACATGGTTTGGGGTTGCTGAATTTGCTCCCCCCTCCCACAGCAGCAGCAGAGGCTCTGGCCACCAGCAGAGAGATTTGCTCCTTGGGGCACCCTACAGAGTGAAAACTCAGTGAACAAAATTGCTTCACCTGGGCAGGGGGAGGGGGGAATTCAGCACGGAAGAAGTTTTCCAGCTCTTTTCAGGGACTCACAAAAGTAGCCCAGAAACACCCAGCCCTGGGGTACACGGGGCTTGTGCGCCTCGAAGCAGCCCGAGGCTGCTCTAATATATGACCAAGGAGGATCTGCTGCTCCTGGCAGGTCCCAGCACTGAAAACCCCATAAACATGGAAGAAAGCCACGCTCTAGGGGAGTGAAATTCAGGCCACGCTGCCGTAATTTCTGGCTTTCTCCCCTCCTTGCACGTCTGTACTGCCACCCAGAGCCCCTCTGTTAAGCTGACAAGTATTTGGCATTTTACTCTCATTCAGAGCAAACACTGCCAAGCACTTGGAGGAACAGCCACGATGATTTCTTGCACTGTTTGCTATGAGTCAGAAGTGTATTAAGTTTGCCCTTCATGCTTATAATGAAACCATTTACTCAAGAGCGAGCGATGGCTGTGAGAAGTGTAACAATGCAGCACGGCTCAGTGTAATTGTATTTTATAATGAATATCTGTAATAATTTGTTCTGTTTATAATTATTGCTGCAATGGGGTTTGTACACAGGAAAAATGGGTACCGAGCATGCAGTTGATCTTGCTTTGCATTGATGAGTTAGGGGAAATTATCGCGTATTAAAAAACTAATGAAGGATGCAAAAATGCTCTCAGCCAAGCTATCAAAGAGGACCTGACAGAATTAACAGAATGGCACAATTTCAAAAATATTACTAACAAAATCAATAATTTTCCTGACAAATCCCATTAAAATGTACACTGCGCGCTGCCCCTGTGTAGGAAAAAACCAAAAAGCCCTTCTCAGGAAAGTTAATTAAAAAGGCTGCCTTCATCAATTCTGAGGGCAGCAGAGGTATCAAGATGTAAACTTCCTACGGGTGTGCTCTGGCTTGCCGTGTGTGGTGTTCCTCAAAACCCCAAAAAACGATTCTCCCTCACAAAAAGAAACCTGGGTGCCAATGAAAAAAAGCTGTTCCTGATGCTTAGACCCAACAAGGGTAGGAATTCCTTGAATAAATGCGGCCTTTGGGGCTTAAAGTGCCACTGCCAGCAGGTGTGGTTTTCCAAGAGATCTGTCTAGGGTGCGAGCAAGTCCCCCGTGTCGGGTAGACACCCGCACCGCTGCCGTTTCTGCTGTATGAGGCAGTCAGGGGGGGAAAAAAGGTGGGAGGAACAAACGGCAAATTCACTCTCTGGATGAATCCCCAATCAGCGAGAACTGCTGAGGCAAATTTGTCCCTGGGATGCGACTGCAGTCCTGGAGAAAAGGAGTTCCTCCCGATGGTGTTTGAGATCACATCTGTTTGAGGAACAGCGAGTACGGGAAAACAGCGCAGGCGCGCCCGATCTCCACCGCACTGCCTTCTGCCTGCGGCAAAGCCCCTCCGCAGGGTCCCCTCCGCATGTGGCCGTGTGTCCTGGGTTGCGGCAAAACGGAACCCATTTTCTGTGCAGTAATTTTACTTTGCAGCTAAGCCTCTTCTAACTAACTGAACTCTCTGAAATTAACAGCACATTGTGCAGATACTGTTCGCTCTCAGAGTGGTAAGACCTGATTAGTTGTAATTTATGCCCAGACATGGTATGCAGAGAGGCTCTTGCTTGTACTTATTGCCATAACAACCGAGGCTAGATAGCTTTATTATTTATTATTAATATTTCATTAAAGTAGTTTAGTTCCTTCTAAACTCTCTAAGTGTCTCTCTACCCCCTCTCCTTGGGCAGAGAGCTGGGGGAGAGAGCATCAGTTGTTCGTCTCGGTGGCCGGTCCGGCCCACATCACGACACCACGCGGCAGGGTTTGGTCCGTGGAGAAGGAGGAGGATCAGGCAATGGCACAATTTATCCCGCGCCCGAGCGAGGACTGCTTTCTACAGTAACCTGGGATGCGCGCTGATGACACCCTGCTCTTGCCAGACCCTCTGACAGGCGCTCTGCTTCTTTATAGTGCTTGTGTAAACAGAAAAGAATAGGAACGCTGTAGAGCACCCTGAAACCCCCACTGCTGAGTGACTGCAGGGCCAGAAACAAGGACTCCCAAATCCACCGGACGGAGGGAAAAAATAGAAGGTTAAACCAGAGGATTAAAGCAGCCTCTGAAACATTACAAGTTTTCTTCACCTCCTGCGAATCTGGGGTCAATTTTAGATGGTGTTTCCCCAAATCCTTACATAATGAGCTTTGATTTGGGGATGAAAGTGGTGTTTCTGCTGTAATCTAACATCTCCAGGACCTGGGTATCTAACCCAAACACTCGAGGCCCCATAAGCATGCGAATACTATAGCCCTTGAAAAAGCCAGAATATTTTTCTCCTGCCTTCTCCCACTGCAGGTGGGAAAGAGCAATTTCTGGAGCATCCTTCCGAAAGCTTTGGGTGCATGGGGCTAGAGGTCCCTCTGCTAAGCCTTGGCTGTGTGTTGGCCTAAACCACCAAGCTTGGGAAGACCTCCTGCCTTCCTCCCTGCCCACTGCCAGCAGCCCCAGTGACACCATGGGCCATGTTTGCAGCAAACCACTGCTGCTGCTGGGGTTTTCCTTCCATTGGTGATGAGTCCCTATGGCCTGAGCTAAAGAACCCCATTCTGGCATGAAGGCGGAGGGTGTCCACGACGCATCCAACTGTCATCATTTCTGGACCAGAAATTGCTCTTGCTGGAGTCTGTAGCCAAGGCAATTGCTGAGGGAATGAGTTTCATCTCATTTCCATGTACCGGAAAACAAAGAATGAAACAAATCTTGCAGAACTGCAGCTCCAGCTCTTCTCCTCTTGCTGACATCCAGCAGCAAGAGAAGGATGGTATCTTTGGGAACACGGCACACACATCTCTGCCCTTGCTCCCAGCCTAGTGCTCCCCATCAGGATTTAATTTTCATTTCACACCATGCTATTTCATTCGAACTGTAAAGGTCTTCTAACAGAGCATTCCCACAGAGCCCTTAGTTACAACAGACCATGGAAAAGTCCTCTTGGCTGGTGATGCTCTAAGGATGGCACACCAAGGGAAGAAGTGCTATACCTGATTGGACCCAATGGGCACCCCAGCACAGCCTCTTCTTCTGACAACTGCCAAGAGCACCTTGGATTAGGAGGATATAAGAGCAGGATAGGAATATAGACAGTATTTCCAACTGATGGTCTCCCAGCCCTCAGATATTTGTGTCTCAGGGGTTTCCCAGCCAGACCAGGTTTCTACGTATTTAGCTATGCTCTGCAGATTTGTCCCATTTCCCTTTGAGCTGGGGTAAGCTTTTGGCATTTTTGTGTGCAACGTGATTGCTAATGCCAGCCCAGTGTCACTGACAGCAAATAGCTGCTCTTGGGACGTGCTCTGTACTTGGCACGAGCATGCCAGCCCACCCACCTTTTCTGGGCACATCTCTGCCCCTCTACTCCACTCTCGTGGAGAGGGGCAGAGAGTACTCCAGCTCTGGAGTCCCCGACATAAGAAGGACATGGACCTGTTGGAGCACATCCAGAGGAGACCCACAAGGATGATCCGAGGGCTGGAGCGCCTCTCCTATGAGGAGAGGCTGAGAGAGTTGGGGCTGTTCAGCTTGGAGAAGAGAAGGGTCCGGGGAGATCTTACTGGGGCCTTCCAGTACCTAAAGGGGGCCTACAGGAGAGCGGGGGGGGGGCTTTTTACTAGGGCATGTAGCGATAGGACGAGGGGGAATGGCTTCAAACTGGAAGAGGGCAGGTTTAGATTAAACATGAGGAAGAAATTTTTCCCTTTGAGGGTGGTGAGGCACTGGAACAGGTTGCCCAGAGAGGTTGTTGAGGCCCAATCCCTGGAGGTGTTCAAGGCCAGGCTGGACGTGGCCTTGGGCAACCTGGTCTAGTGGGAGGTGTGCCTGTCTATGGCAGGGGGGGGGGAACTCGATGATCTTCAAGGTCCTTTCCAACCCAAACCATTCTATGAGTCTATGATTCTAAGGGCAAGAGAGAGCACCCACATGCCTGCCTGCAGGTGACCCCGGCGGTGACGTGGCACTAGCACGACAGGGCTGAATGTCCCCTATCAATGTGCAAGCAAACTGTCTTCGTATGATGGCAAAGGCAGGACAAGAAGAGATCTAATGCTTAGAAAAAAACATGCCAGCTGGGGAAGACACCTCGTGAACAACCTCATGCACGTGC